TGTTTATTAGTTAAAAAGTCAAACTGTCAAACCTTTAACTTGTCCTTTGTAAAATTCGCTGGGTCCAAATTTTGGGGTTTTCGAGTCGTTACACGAAGAAAAACATATTAATTCAACACGCAAGAAAGTTCAGAGTGCGACACAACGTAAACTCCATAGGAAACCGGCACAACTCTTTGAAAATTCAACGAAACTGCGTGAAATATATTCTGATCACTCAGCCAAAAGGTGCCATTTTGAAACTGGACTGAATATGTCACTATTGGAGTTCGGAATTGTGCGCGTGCGTATAAGTCCATATAAGTCTATATATGGGCTAATAAACGAAAAATGCACCACAAGCATGGCATGAGCCGGCTATTACGTACATAAATACAAGCTTCTTACTATTATATATGAATCGTGGAGTCGAAGAATCGATGGCATTTTGGATTAATCGTTGCACCCTGAGCCTGCGATGCGCGAACGCAAACTCGATTTCTCGACGACGAAAAAAACAGAAAACAGAAAACTAGGGATTTAAGACACTTGACCTTTCAGGTCAGTGTAATTATGCTAAATGATGGTGAATGATACTGAATGATGTTGAATTATACTGAATGATGCTGAATAATACTGGATGATGCTGAATGATAGTGAATGATGCTGAATGATACTGGATAATACTGAATGATGCTAAATGATGGTGAATGATACTGGATGATGTTGAATGATGCTAAATGATGCTGAATGATGTTCAATGATGCTGAATGATGCTGAATGACGCTGAATGATACTGAATGATGGTAAATGATGCTGAATGATACTGAATGATGCTGAATGATACTGAATGATGCTGAATGACACTGAATGATGGTAAATGATGCTAAATGATGGTGAATGATGCTAAATGATGGTGAATGATACTGAATGTTGAATGATACTAAATGATGCTAAATGATACTGAATGATGCTGAATGATACTGAATGATGCTGAATGATGCGGAATGATGCTGAATGATACTGAATGATACGTTATGATGTTAAATGATGTTGAATGATACAGGATGATGTATAATTGTGTATAGTTATGTAGGATGATGTATAATGATGGGTAATGATATATAATGATGTTTAATGACGTATGTGAAGGCTTATAAAATGTGTGTGTTATCTATATTGGTGTATGTAGGACATAGAATTATTACCCTGTTCAGCCCCTAAACCTAAACCCCCTAAAGATTAATCGGCACGGATACGAGCCCGCGTGGATCATGCGTGCATTTATATAAAACACAAAATGTCACCACGATAAACAAGTTAAAACAGCTTGAAAATGTACATTTTCTGAGCTCTTATTTTACAATGAGCTCTGATTTATGCTTTCATAACGAAGGAAAAAGAAGAAATAAAGATTATTCACAGTTTTTACAGGTATGAATTGAAAATTAATTAATTAAAATATCAATAATTGATTGGTCCGAGGTCTGGTCAACACTGAAAAATATCAGCATTCGCTTTGGCTTTGCAAGCTGACGAAGTAATCGACGAGAAGCCATCTTGTAAAGTATAAAATGTAAATGTTTCGATAATTCGATAATCAGAACAGCCGCCGACGAGAGCGGATTGCAGAATGACAAAGTGATCATCAATCCGCATTTTTATAATCGCTTTCCAGTAAAGAGTCACGAATCAAAATAACCTACACATCACATACATGTTTGTGACAATAGCCCGAATCCGAACAAACAATTTTCCTAATGGCTCCTAATTATCATGTCACTTGGTGGTGTGTTGAATAGGCTCAGATTGAATTTGTTTCCGACAGAGGTAGCCAAAATATCACACACAGTGTTACGTTTGGTTTTTTATACTGAATCATCATGAGACTCTACGTTTAACACTACCAAAGTTTCTGTGTCGTCGCAGAAGGAGTTTTAAATGGGTAAACTAATAACGGAAAAGCACAAGGTAAGGACGATCGTCCAGTTTATTAGCCATCCTGTAGACTAGAAATTATGGAATGCCGATTGTTTCAATAATACTTCTGTTCCAAATATAATACTTCTTTGCAATTATAATACTTCGTGTCACACTTATAAAACTTATCATCACTAATATAAAACTTCCATGTATAAATATCATACTTCATTGTAAATATAAAACTTCTTTGTAAATATAATACTTCATTGTATTAAAATATAATACTTGATCGTAATGCGCCGATCAAAACGAAGGTGTAACATCCCCCCCCCCGGGCATATACCCGGGCATTTGACTTTTTGCATTTTGCAGTGATCAAATTCCCCCACCCCAAGTCAAATCAAAGGCCTTCGAGGCCGACTCACGGATGAGATCAAATTAATTAAAGGGGGATATGATTTACAGCATTTTTTTACAAATGGGAACCGTGCAAGGGCAAGGACATTATTTGGTAAAACACAACATAATATAAAATGTTCCCGAACTGGGGCGAAGATCTTACAGGTTTTTAAACAGTTTAATTTTAACGACATCCTCGATTTTAACAATAAGAGACCGGTCATCATTTATGGAAGGGGGGGGAGGGAAAAAATAAGGGGGGGGCATATGTAGAAATAAATGACTAGAAGGGGGGGGGGCTATTAAATTTTTTCAAGAAAATGACAGGGG